TCCGGCGGCTGCCGGCGCGCCGGCGGGGTTGGAGAGTGAGGGGGCCGGGGGCCGGCGGCGGCCCCCTCTGTCCGGAGGAGGTCCGTTCTGCCCCCGCCCGCGGCGCTGGGAAGTGTGTGCTCCACCTGCCAGTTGGGCCCGAGGGGACGCGGAGCCGGCCCCGCGTGCAACCGCGTGCCCTCAGCCCCGCGAGCGCAGGGTCCGAAGTCTGCGGGCGCCGGCGCGCTGAGGGGAGCGAGACTCGACGCGCTTGCCCACGAAGGCCCAAGTACGTGCACACGGGGACACACGCGCCCTCCCGAGACCCCGCCCAGCGGAGCGGTGCAAGCCGCCCCCGCAGTGTCCCGGACCCCGGGCTCCCGGGCAGCCCCGCGGGAGGCCCAAGATCACAGCTCCAGGGCATTCAGCCCCACCTTGAGGGAGGGTGGGGCCGACCGGCGGAGGCCGGAGGGTTCTGTTTTCAGATCTGATGGTTTATTCTCCGCGAGTTTTTTGCATTACTGTTGATGTTCAAAACTACAGTCTCAGAATCCTAGGTATCTGGATTGCTGAGCTTTTTGGTGCTGTTTACGATGTAAAAGCTTGAAGTGAGTACCTCAGTGTCTTCGCCCCAGTGGGGTCTCAACTTGGGGAGTCAGATCTTCGCGGGGCTGGCCGTGTAAAGGTTAGGTCTCCTGCAGCAGGACTTGGGGATAAGAAGTGGTTAACCATTGAGAAGATGCAGGCCAGAAAGGCTTCAAGGAGGAGGTGGCCTGCATTGGCTTTGCGCACTGCAGAGTGCATGGGGCTTGGCCATGCTGGGATCCCAAAGCAGCGTTTTCCTGCTCTCCTAAAGAGGCCGGAAGATACAATCGGGAGTCGAAGAACAGGGTGACGTGTTGTGAGGTGACCGATGCTTCAGGGCGAAGTAGGGAATGTCTGTCCCATGTCAAGTGGAGGCTGGTGTCAGCGGTAGAACGGGCACGGCGGTAACCTGCAGGGAGCTCGCCCAGGGCCTAAAGGTATTCATCGGGTGGGCATCACGTTCAATTTTAAAAACACAAACCTTAGGTTAACCCGTGAGCAGGGGATTTTGGCCAAGTGTCGTCTCTGATAACGGAGACCAGGTTATATTGGAGAAAGTCCCAGAAGCCAAATTGAGTATTTCGCTTTACTTGGTGGGAAATGGGAAGCCATAATAGAACAAAAAGAACTACAGAAAGGGAAATGGTGGATTGTAACCATTTGGTGGGTTCTGCTGGAACCAGGAATGATTTTGCAGCCTGGTTTTCTTTCAGCTTCTTCACTGCCCTCCCGTCGTTGGAGAACTGTATGGAAAGAATTTAGGATCTTGGCCACGGTTCACATCCCCGCTCAGACACATTTTTGACTCGGTGATGTTGAGCCATACCCATAACTCCCTGGGTCTCACTTTTCTATTAGTTTGGGGACCATCAGTGAACAAAACAAACATTTTTCTTTCTAACGGAGGGGATACAAGCAAAACAGTCGTACGTTTTGTGTTGTTAGAAGGTGGTGAGAGGAGCACCTGGGAGCGTACAATTTTGGCTCAGGTCACGATCTCGCAGTTCATGGGTTCGAGCCCTGCGTCGGGCTCTGTGCTGACAGCTCAGAGCCTGGAGCCTGCTTTGGATTCTGTGTCTCCCTTTCCGTCTGCACCTCCCCCTTTTATGTTCTGCCTCTCTCTGTCTCTAAAATAATTAAAACATTTTTAAAAAATGATGGTAGGGCACCTGGGTAGCTCGGTCAGTTAAGCGTCTGACTTCGGCTCAGGTCATGATCTCGCGGTTCGTGAGTTCAAGCCCCGCGTCGGGCTCTGTCCTGACAGCTCGGAGCCTGGAACCTGCCTCGGATTCTGTGTCTCCTTCTCTCTCTGCCCTTGCCCCCCCCCCCCCGGGGGTGTCTCTCTGGCTATCAAAACTAAATAAAAATGTAAAAAAAAATTTTTTTTAAAGATGGTAAGAGGTAGAGACAAGAAAACATAGAGCGGGGTTGAGGATGGAGAGGCAGGTTGTATTAAACACGCCGTCAGCATAGGCGTCACTGAGGAGGTGGGGTCTGAACAGAATTGTTAGCGGTAAGGGGGGTGCCCTATGAAAATAACCTAGGGGAAGAGCATTCCAGACTGAGAACGGTTGGGCACACGGGCCTCGAGGCAGGTGACCCGGGTAGGATACTGCTGCTGTGAACACTTGTCCACAGGTGTTTGTGGGCACACAGGTTTCCACTTCTCTTGGGTACGTACCTAGCACTGGAATTACTGGGCCGTTGTGGTGCTTCTGTTTTAATCCCTTGAGGAATTGGTAACACTGTGTCCAGAAGGGATGCGCTGTGTCACGTCTGCAGGGGCAAGGAGTGAGGGTTCAGTGCCTGCACACCCTTGGCCACACTGCTGCCCGTCTGGGTTACATATAGCCCACCCCAGTGAGTGAGGACCAGTGTCTGGTGGTCGTGATTTGCATATGTCTGATTGCTAGCGATGTTGAGTGTCTCTTCATGTGCTTATTGGCCACGTGTGGATCCTCTTTGGAGACATGTCTATTCAGATCCTTTGCTCATTTTGAAATCGGGTTATTCGTCTTTTATTTGGGGTTGTGAGGGTTCTTCACGTATTCCGAACACGAGTGCCTTATCAGATACATACTTCGCAAACATTTTCTCTCATTTGTGGTTTGTCTTTTCACTTGCTTGATGATATCATTTGAAGCGTCGAAGCTTTTCATTTTGCCGTATCCTTTTCTTGAGTCCTTCTCTCCGCAACATCAAATTAGTCACAAATTTCACGGATTTGGCCTTAGAGATATCTCTGAAATGTACCCCCCCACCCACTGCCCTGTACACCCCCTTATTATTTCTGGCCTGAACTTAAGCAGTAGCCTCCAATCCTATTCTCTCTTGTAGGCCCCACCCTGATGGCCCTCCAGCTGTTTCCAGAAGGCTCTCCCTGAAACACAAATTGAGCAGGTCAGACCTCTGCGGGTTCCGCATTCCTCCTGGCACAGGTCTCGAACTCTTCCAGTAAGAGTACCCGCACCATTTAAAACATTGGGGTTGCAGGGCCGTGACCCAGACACCGTGAATCGGAATCTCTAGGGGATGAACCTGTGCATCTGGGTCTAATAAGCCCCCGGGGGGGGGTGGGGTTTATTCTCAGAACAGTTATGCCTACAACAGTGGTTCTAAGCCAGGGGTGGTTTTGTTCCCCAGGGGACATTTGACAACGTCTGGAGACATTTTTGGTGGTTACACCTGGGGGAGGGGGTGTGGCTGTCACCCAGTGACTCCCTGCAGAGAACCGTCAGCCCCGAATGTCAATCATGGTGAATTGAGAGCCCTGGCTGTGTTTGTAGGAGATAAAATACAAACCCACGTTTGAGTCTAACTTCTTGGTTCCCAACTCCATCAGAGGTCTATGGCTCTGTAAGAACCATCCCCAACTTAGTGGCTTGAAACAACAATTGACCTTTCTCATGATTCTGTGGCTGGACCGGGCAGTCCTGCTGTCCCCCGCCCCGGGCTCTTGCTGGAGACCGCTGAGCTGTGCACCTGTCCCGTTGGGTCTCTGGTTTCACAGGCGTTTCATAGTGTGGAGGTTTTGGAGATACGAAGGGTGTGAGCTTGAATGCCACTTCTGCTGTATTCTGCTGATCACAGAGGGTCACAAGCCTCAGATTCAAGGAGTAGGGAAAGAGACCCTACTTTTTAAAGCAAGGAACTCGCAAAGACTTTGTGGCCGTGTTAATCCACCAGCAGCCTACCTTTTCGATGCTGTCTCCAAGGGCCTGCCTCCTTATCACCTCAGTGAGGGACGCGCCAGGGCCAGACGAGAGTCGGAGGCTCCGGGCAGTGGGGAGGAAGTACCCCCAGGAAAACTTCTCAGAGACTTGTGTTAGCAGGATGTCTCTTCTCGTGACTTTTCATCAGAGTCTAAACCAAAGGTTCTGAAACGTTTTAGGCTCAGGACCCTCTCACACTCAAAAATTATTGAGGACCACTGGGTGGCTCAGTTGGTTGAGTGTCCAACTCTTGATTTCAGCTCCGGTCATGGCCTCAGGGTCATGGGATCCAGCCCCGAGTCAGGCTCGGCATTGAGCGTGGAGCCTGCTGGGGACTCTTTCCCTCTGCCCCACCCCTCTCTTTCTCTCTCAAAAAATGAATAAACTTAAAAAAAATTATTGAGGACCCCAAAAAACTTTTATGTTGGTTATATCTACAAATGTTTATTGTATTAGAAATTAAAAATAAGACATTTTAAAAAATAAATATTGGTTTATTTAAAAAATATGGGGCGCCTGGGTGGCGCAGTTGGTTAAGCATCCGACTTCAGCCAGGTCACGATCTCGCGGTCCGTGAGTTCGAGCCCCGCGTCGGGCTCTGGGCTGATGGCTCAGAGCCTGGAGCCTGTTTCCGATTCTGTGTCTCCCTCTCTGTCTGCCCCTCCCCCATTCATGCTCTGTCTCTCTCTGTCCCAAAAATAAATAAACGTTGATAAAAAATAGTAATAACTCGTTTAGATGTTATTCACGTTGGTGTTGCCTGGGTAGTACAGTCCCTTGAGCGTCTGACTCCTGATTTCGGCTCAGGTTATGCCCCAGGGTCATGGGATTGAGCCCCACATTGGGCCCCACTCTGGGCATGGAGACTGCTTGAGATTCTCTCTCTCTCCCTCTGCTTCTTTCTCGCTCACACACTTTCTCTCTCTGTCTCTAAAAACGTAAAAATAAAAATAAATTTCAGATGGAAATTAGCTATGTTTTCCAGAATACAAGTCAGTAAAAAGAATGACACCGTGTTACATTTGTGCATATCTCTTTAAATTTTTTTTAATGTTTATTTATTTTTGAGAGAGAGAGTGTATGAGCGGGAGAGGGTCAGAGAGAGAGAGGGAGACACAGAATCCGAAGCAGGCTCCAGGTCCCACGCTGTCAGCGCAGAGCCTGACATGGGGCTTCAACTCACGAACTGTGAGATCCTGACCTGAGCCAGTCAGATGCTTAACGGACTGAGCCACCCAGGCGCCACTGTGAACATCTCTAACATTTGGCTTAACAAAAGGCAGCCTGATTCTCATTTGTTTCTGCATTCTATCTGATGCAATACCACACATCACGTAGCCTCTGGAAAACTCTATTGTACGCTCATAAGAAAAAGGCAAATCATGACTTAGTATTATAGTAAAAACAGTTTTGATGTCACAGACCCCCTCAGACTGTTTCAGGGACCCCTAGGGGTCCATGGATCACACTTGGAGAACCACCCAGGCTGTTCCAACTTGCCCAGGCCGAAACTCCCTGACTCGGACGTGCTTCTGCCCATCCATGAACGTTCATTACATCCATTTTCCAGCCCTTTTATGACCTTACTCTTGTGTAGGTACTCTCGGCTTATCCCTACCAAACTCCTACTCATCCCTCAAAACCCACTGTAAAGGCACGTTACATGCTGAAGGCCTTCTTGACACCTTTAGGCAAAGTCAGGACTCCTCCCTTACGTGTTTTCACACACTCTGTCCCTCCGTCTGCAGTAACACTTACCCTCCTTAAGTTGAAATTCATCAGTCTGTATGTTTGCCTTCTTGTTAAGCCAGAAAGGTATTTTTCTGAAGTTTGGGGTTTTTTTGTTTCATATCAGAATGAATTGATGGTTGTAAATTGATCCATGTGCAAATCGCTAATGAACGACCCTGCCAGCTGTCCAATCCTCCCCTTCCTCCGGGTTCTGCTTGAGGCCTCCTTTATCATGTATTAACTTTTTGTGCACAACAGATGTCAGGTCTCTTATTCTGCCCCAGCACCGGTTCCGGCTTCATCGAAGCCCCGCGATAGGTTACCCGCATCGGCTCAGAACAAGGTTCATTGTCCGGCGGGATCTGTCTTTCCATCCACTATGGCTCTTTTTCTTCTGAATTTTCCTAGAAGTTCTGATCTGTTCATGTCTTCAGGTTAACTTTGGAATCATTTTGCCAATTTCCAAGAAATAATCCTGCCAGGGGTGCCTGGCTGGCTCGGTCAGTTAAGCATCTGACTCTTGATTTCAGCTCAGGTCATGATCTCACGGTTCGTGGGTTCCAGCCCCGCATCGGGCTCTGTGCTGATGGTGCAGAGCCGGCTTGGAAGTCTATCTCTCCCTCTCCCTCTCTCTCTCTCTCTCTCTCTGCCCCTCCCCCACTCATTCTGTCTCTCCCTCCCTCTCTGTCTCTCTCTCTCTCCCCCAGAGTAAGTAAATAAACTTAAAAAAAAGTCTATACTGCGAAACACTAGGAAGTAGAAAAAAGTAAAAATATACCTCTTCTATTTATCAGTTCTAGTCTTTTTTATAGCTAATTGATTTAAATACTTGACCTTAATTCTCTACTTCCTAGTGGTGTCCTTAGGACATTTCCCCCTTCTCCTGAATCTGCCCAGTGGGCGTGTCCTCTTGTTCTCTCTCTCTGATACAGAAGTTTCAGAAGAAACTTCCCTCCAAGGCCAGCAGTGCCTTGTGGTGCGCACGTCCCGCACTGACTTCCACACAGGCCCTATCTCTCCCCCAAGAGCTCCTCTCACTTGTATTTTCAGAGTATCCCTTCTTTTACTCCATTTCAGTCTGAGAAAGTGTCTGGGGGACACAGACAATGAGGTATCCAGGCCAGGCTTTTGGAACAGATAAGGGACGGTGGGTCAGAACCCAAGGAAATCTGGATCAGGTATGAAGTGCAGTTAGTAACAATGTCTGTGTCCGTATTGATTCATGGATCGTGACGCATGTTCCATAAGATGTTACCAACAGGGGAGGGTGGGCGTGGAGTAGATAGGATCTCTCTGCACTGTTTTCATGTCTTCTCTATCAATCTAAAAGTACTCTAAACTTAAAATTGTACTGAAAAAGAAAACCTCTCTGTAACCCCTCAGACGCTCATCAGAACCTGTTTTTTTTTTTTAAATGTTTATTTATTTATTTATTTATTTATTTTGAGAGAGTGTGCATGCCTGTGAACAGGGGAGGGACAGAGAGAGAGAGAGGGAAAGAGAGAGCATTCTAAGCAGGCTCTGCACTGTCAGTGCAGAGCCCAATGCGGGGCTCGATCCCATGACCCTGGGATCATGACCTGAGCCAAAATCAAGAGTTGGAAGCTGAACCGACTGAGCCCCCCAGGCGCCCAGAACCTGTTTCCTCCCAAAGGGCTCACAGGCGTCAGTGACCTGTCTTGCCTGGGCCTGGGGCCAAGAGACCTCATTAGGGGCCACTTACTGAGTAAGACGGGGGCTGCCCAGCCATCTCCAGAAGCCGATACTAGTGGAGGCGGGTGCTGAGTGTTTTCTGTTTGTCCCACAGGGACCGCCCCCAGGAGCGTCCAGTTGTGGGAGACACTGGCAGGAGACGAGCGAGAAGGACCCTGAGGCCTGGTTACTTGTTCCTGAGATGAGCCCTGCTGGGTCACGGAGGTGAGAGCGTCTATGGAAGGCCTGTCATCGTGGCCTCTTGCGTTCAGCTCTCCCCATCTCGGTTCTGGTAACAGCCTTCCCCTCCTGCCCTTATCAGCCCGGAGCACAGCCTGCCCTCGGCACCACGGGCGTGGGGCTTATCGGTGGCACCTGGCGACCCCACCAATGCCTGGGTAGCAGACACATACATGCTGGCCCTCAATAAATGTTTGTCAGACGAACGGGCCAGGCACTGAATCACGGAGTGGTTGCAGTCACACGAGAGCCTTGTGACTTGTGGCCACACCGCCAGTGGTTAGAAGACTGTGCGGTTGGCTCTGGGGACAGCTGATGGCTCCTCTGGGGGGACCAGGCCAGGGATCTGGGGCAAGTTGTTGAAGCTGGCCGGGCTCGATTCCTTCTCTTTCGAGTGGGGATCGTACTGTCGTCTTCACTGAGTTGATTAAATGAGAAACAATTCACGCGGAGCGTGGCATGAAGGTAAATGCTCTGTAAACAGTAGTCATACCTGTGATCTAACCCAGGCATGGCTAAAATCACACGGCCTTGTGCAATAGGTAATGAGGGAGGACAATTAACACACAAACGTAATTGGCAAGTAAAGTTGTAAACACGTCCCACCCAGTGAGTAAGAAAACAAACACAGAGTCAAACAACAGTGAGACACTGTGTCTTGCTCTAAAGTGAGCAAATCGCTGTAGTGATACTTAAAGCTGGAAAGGACACAGTCAGGGACACTCAGCCATTCAGTGTGGGGCTCAAAAATACCAGAATGCAATAGTTTCAAATTAAAAAAAAAAAATGTTTATTTTTGAGACAGAGACGCAGAGTGTGAGCAGGGGAGGGGTAGAGAGAGAGGGAGACACAGAATCCGAAGCAGGCTCCAGGCTCCGAGCCGTCAGCACAGAGCCCGACGCGGGGCTCGAACCCACAAACTGTGAGATCATGACCTGAGCCTAAGTCGGATGCTTAACCGACTGAGCCACCCAGGCGCCCCGACCTTGTATTTTATAATCTGAAAGGGAATTTCCTAAAAACCAAAAAGTTGAACAAAGAAAAACCTAGCAAAACTGTATGGTATGATCACTGGTTGGTAAAAGTAACCAAAACTTTGTGTATGGAGAAAAATCTGGGAAAAACGAGAATTGAGTGGAAATTGGATGTTAAATATCTTTCTTCCTCTTCTGAATTTTTCATGTTTACAGTTAAGAATGAGTTTTCTTAATAGCACAGTTAGATGTGCTCAAAGGTGGTCATTTTCAAGGCGAAGACACTAACAGCCCAGCAGTGGATTGGGTGCCATCAGGGGCCGGCCCCCAGCTGGGTCCCAGGGCTCCTTGCTTTGAATATTTGGATTTAAACATTTAAATGCTTTGAGTACAGCAGATTGCCCTTAGTAATGCAGGTGGGCCCCATCTAATCAGTTGAAGGCCTAGGTAGAACAAAGACTGACCTCCTCCAGGCAGGAAGGAATTCTTCAGCTGATGGCCTTAGGACTTGAACTGCACCATAGGCTCTTCCCCGGCTCTACAACCTGCCAGCCCACCTGCAGATTTTGGATTTACCAGCCTCCAGGATCATACAGGCCAATTTCTTAAAAAATACCTTTCTTGCACACACACTCTCTCTCTCTACACAGATACACCCTATTGGCTCTCTTTCTCTGAAGAACGCTGACTAATATGAAGCCCAAATAGAAAATGTTTTAGGCTTTGCAGGTCGTACAGTCTCCATCCCTCCCCATTCCTCTGCCACAGACAACATGTAAACACATCTCAGTCTGGGCACTGGTGACATTTTGGGCTGGATACTCCTTGTTGTGGGGCCATCCTGTGCACTGTAGGGTGTTTAGCAGCCTCCCTGGCCTCTAGCTTCCAGATACCCATGGCAGCTGTCGGTCATGACAATCCAGGATGTCCCCTGGGTGGGGGGCAGAGAGGAGACATACCCTCACCCTCACTGAGCACCGTTGAAGTACATGAGTGAGCCTGACTGCGTTCTAGTGGCCTGGGGACTGGAGTCTGCCGACCCCGCTCTGGGCAGTGTGGTCTTGGAGCTTTGCAGCAGGGGCCCCGTGGTTGGGAGTGTGGGGACACGGTAGGAACCCTGTGAGGTCACACGGAGCCCGGCCACATCCCAGGTCTGCCGCCCGGTCCTGAAGGTGCCGTTGCTCTGATGAGGGCAGGTCTCAGAGCAGCCCAGTGCTCTTCTGTGCGTCCCAGCGAGGTCGGAGGGCTGGGGAAGACGGGGTGTTGGGTGCGTGGCCACGATCCCCTGGGCCACCCTCGGCACCGTCTCCTCCTCAACGACCCCAGGGTCTCCCCTCGGGCGAGAACCGTAATAACGGTTTCCAGGTAGCAGGAGGTTTACCAGCCCGCTTCAGGTGGGAGCAGTGTCTGGGGCTCATTGGCGACTTTCTCTGGCCCGGTGTGCGGACGGATGGACAAGGCAGGCACCTGCAGACCCCTGGGCGGAGGGCGGGGTCACCGAGGCTACACAGGACGGGCTCATGAGCCGTGACCTGGCCTTGTGCTCCGCACGCTGGGCACGGATCACTCCCTCAGAGCTTGGCCCAGTATGAGCCCCATGGTTATTTGTGTCCCAGCCGAGGACTTCCTGGTCACGCGGGGTTGACCTAGCCCCACTCCAGCTATGTCTGACAGCATACAGCCGCCCCTAGGGAAGCCCAGCCCTCCAGGAGCCCTTGGCAGGGCCTCAAATGCAGGGGGTAAGCAGCGAATGTGGTCGGGCGGCTGCCTGCAGCACCTGGGACAGCTCTGGAGCAGAGCACCTGTGGGCAGGCCCCGCGCCCGCGACCCTGTGCCACAGTCACTGGAGACTTCACGGGCCCACCGAGGCCCAGGCCCGCGAGGGAGGAGAGGGCCTGGGTGGTCTGGCTTGGCCAGCGTTTGAGAACCCTGGGTTAAAGCCTCACCTCCGACCCTCCAGGCCCTACTGGCTCCGTATTGCCACGTTAGCAAGACCCCGAGATCTCTTTACGTGACCTGCACTTGGGGAAGTGCTAGCCTGGATCGTAAACTCGCAGCGTGGATGTGGGTGGGCCCCGAGAACAAGGCTCGGGCCCCAAGAAGCCTTAGCTGAGCAGCGCCGGCCACCAGGACCAGCTTGGGGCAGGGTCACCCTTCTGAACCGACAGGGAGATGACAGAGTCCAGTCAGACAGAATGAGCTCCCTGGCGGGGAGAGGAAGGAGTGGCCCACTCCCTGGGTCCGGGGCCGCAAAGACATCTTGGGAAACGTCAAAGGCCGGGACCGTTGTGGCAGACGTCAGGCACGGATTCCGTTTGCCGGGACCCTCCCGGGCATCTGTGCGCTTGGCCTAGCCTTCCTGGTCCAGGCCAGCAGCTGCCCGGACCCTGCGTCCTCCGCATTTGCTCTGTCTTAGACCTAAGCTCAACCTTCAGATCCGATGACCCAAACCAGCTTCTCAGTTTTGCGAGTCCTGGTGTCTGGCCGCACTCACCGGCGGTGGCCCCAGGAAGCGACCCCCGAAGACCCCACCCCTGCCCAACCGCAGCCTGGCATTGGGAGTCTGGGGGTGGAGAGTGTCTATGAAAGCCCCTCGGCCGTGCTCACAGACGCCCTCTGCCTGACTCCTCTTTCCAGTTCCCCACCGGCGTCCTCCAGGGCTGCCCTGTAAGATCTCCACCACTCCTTATGCTGGTCACTGCTCTGTCCCTGTGGTTCCCCCATACCCCGCCCACAACTTGGTCCACAGTCCTAAACAGATCTTCCTCACATTGTCCTGATTTGAGCGAGCCCCCTGTTGGGAGCCTGCCAGATGGAGCTGGAAAGGGTCGCTTCCTTCCGGAGAGCTGTCGCCCCAGCCCCAGCGATGCCCACTAAGCTCGCCAGCATCGGGGCGTCCCAATCTTGGAGTGTGGCACACACGACAAGGGGCTCCCTTCCAAGAGATGACCTTCCCACCAGCACGCATGACCCGGCCAGGAACCAGACGCCAGAAAGGGAGTGAAATCCCAGATTTCAGCAAAGGCTAGGGGCTCATGTCTGTGCAGAGAGCGGCAAGATTCCTTTTCTGGCCACGGAAGGCTGGGCTCAGTGACCCAGACGGTTCCTTCCAGCTGTGAGGTTGTGAGTCTGCAAATGGCCCCCGCTCCTCTGACCCCCTCGTCACGCTCTCTGGGTCCCCAGGACACGCTGATGGCAAGTGTGCTGATCGGGAAGGAGAAAAGGAAAGATCGGCGTTTCTCCTGCCTCATCAGCTGGCTGCCTGGGACTGACCCCAAAGCTATAGGGTGCGGGTGGGGGCAAAACCCACAGGGCTGCTGGCTCAGAGGGTTGGGAAGGTCAGCGTCAGATTTCCCGGAGGAGGCGTGGAGTAACGCAGGATCCCCCGCTGCAGGACTTCAGACCCTGGCGACAGGGCGGTCGGAACATGGAGGTCTGCCAGGGAGGTGGGGACACAGCACTGGGCCAGGGGAACCCGGCAGGAACGAAGCAAAGGGGTGGCAGGGGCGGCCTGCTGTCAGATCCTGGCCGAGGGGCCTGGGCAGCGTCCAGAGTCCCCATGGGGTGGGAAATTGAGAGAGACTGGGTTCCGGGGAACACGGTGTTCTCGGTTGGGACCTGGGAGTCCTGTGTGCAAATGGCTGCAGAGGAGACCAGAGACAGGAGGTACATGGCCTGTGTCATGCTCACACTATACCCTAGGACCTCTGCCAGCTCCCTCATCACGGAGCCCCTTCCTCACGAAGCGCCCTGCTAGCTGCTGAGGGTGGGACGATGCCCGGGAGCAGCGGGACATGCGCCTCGCCTGCGAGCTCAGAACTGTCCCTCTGCCTTCGTGAGCACAGCCTCGGCGGGCCAGGGGCGGCTGAGTCAGCAGGTGGCAGGTCTGATGGCCTGGATCCTGGCAGCTGGGGCCGGCAGGCTGCCAGTCACAGAGCTCCTCCCGTGCCAGCCCAGCTGCCCAGGAAAGCGTGTGGGTGTGGACCCAGCCAGTACAGCAGAGGGCTCAGG